GCAGCCTCACAGGCTAAAAAAAGAAACAGGGCTCCCCTCAACTCCCCTCAAGTGAAAAAAACTTGCTCTGCTCTCTGTCTTTTTAAATGAAACATCTGCCCTTCAGAGCTCTCTTCCCTCCTCTCCTTTGCCTTGAACAGGACCTTGAGCGTGCTTGTGGTATTTTCCATCTTTGTTTTTTTTTAAAAAGGGAAAGAGTGAAATTGCGTTACGAATGGATTCCATAAGGAATACGCAGCCAACGAGCCTGCCTTGTATTCTTTAGTCCTATATATAGTATAGTGTGCTACGGAAGAAACATATCTGGAAGCCACCTGCAGTGGATACTGGGTATTTGACTGGGTGTTTAATGTACAGTAGATCTGGGGTCGGGCAACATCTGGGAGGGTCTAAATCTCAGAATGATACACATGATCACTGCTACTGTTTGTTGTTTAAGAATATAATGTATTGAATCTGAGCTTAAAGTAGAATCAACTAAATTGAGTAATGGCTAAAAAAAGTGCTTTTAAAGGGATCACAGGGCCTCAAAGAGATGATGTATTAAAACAAATCATATAAAGGGTCACTCATAAGGAAAATGTAGCAGATAGCAAACAGGAAAAAAACAGGAAGCTGTGTTTTTTTGTAAATGAGTGTGAGTAATGTGTCCGGTAATTGTTTCTAAGGAAGCGGTGTGAATCAATCTTAAAATTCATCTTATAATAAATCTTATAATTCATTTCTGCCTTTGATTATGATCACAGGAATCAATTTTCCATCCAAGGAGGTTTTTCTTCCATGCAGAATTTGAAGGGATGTGGTTCGGTTGATGGTTGGCATACTCACATTCAGGTCATGTCAGCTTATAACTACAACAAACTCTTCCCTTGAGGCCTTTATTAAAGGTTAGGGTTAGAGTATATTTCTCATAAAGGTGTCACACAAGTGTCCAAGCATCACTTAATAGATTAAATATTCTTATGAATGTGTGGGGAAATAAATGAAAGGTACCATCCTATTTGTTAAATATTATCTATCCTGGGAAAAGCATTAGTGAGTGGCATGTTTGTGCTATTGCAGGCTCAGTGGTGAGAGATAGCACAGCCTGTCACCTGGGCGCATGCCAGCGATATGAAACCTTCAAACACTCCCTGAAATCCTCTGCACCTCAGGAAATCAAACAAATTGTTTAAACCACCATGACCACTTACAGCATTCTTTTTTTCCAAGTGGCGTGTCAGTGTCATAACTTTCATTCACATTCAAGAGCGCAAACATTTGTAGGGCTCAGCAATGGGCCACACCCTTCCCTAAACCAATAAGGTGGCACATCATTTACATACACAACTTTACAGAAAAACCACAACCACACACTGATACATCTTCACACACTCTTACCTGGTAGATCATGACTTTGAAGTTGCGTCTCTTGAGCAGCTCGGACTCGTTGTTCTCCAGCTTCTTGATCTGGCCTCCTTGCTTCTCCAGGGTGGCGTGCACGGTCTTGACGTTGACGCTGACCTTGCGCACTTTCTCCATCATCTTGTTCACGGAGTTGGACGTAGTGCTGTGGCTCTTCGACAGTTTGGTCAGCTCGCCCTGAATGCTGTTCACCGAGCGCTCCATATCCTGCTGCCTGGCCTCCAGCCCGCTCTGGGTCTGCTGGATCTGGTCCACCGCCCCGATGATCTTGTCGAGCAAAGTCAGAACCATCACCCCGTTCACCTGGGTGTCTTGCTTTCCAGCTTCGTCCTTGTCTTCGGCGGAATCCCCCTCTGTACCCATGATGGACAGCTCTTTCTTGACTGCGGCGAGGGCATCGTCTTCGTCATCTGAGGGGGGGGCGTTGACCTCATCGTCTGAGATCTCAGTCAGGGTTTGAGGCTCCATCAGGGCACTCGTGAATTCCAGTGCTTCCATAGTAGCCATGTCGGTGGATTTGAAGTGTACAGACAGCTAAGCTACCTTTCTGCTTCTTCTAGATGCCTTTTTCCACTTTCTCACCTGCTTCTCCCTTTCTTCTCTTGATCTCTACTCTTTTCTCCTCCTACTTCGTAACTGACTTATCTCTCTCCAGCATATAAGCACTCTGTTTCTCTGTCTGTCTGTCCTGTCCACTTCAAATCCCTGGAGTCAGTCCAGTGTGCAGGGGCAGCCAAGAGATACTGGATGTTACCACATGAGCGTTGGGATGTGAATGCCACACCAGGCAGAGAAACCCTCCAGTCAAGCTACAGCTGGCTGGGTTTCACTCCACCCCCCTTATTTTCCATTGGACTCTCCCCCTCTCTTCAAACTCCTCCCCACCCTAAATACACACACACACACACACACACACACACACACACACACACACACACACACACACACACACACACACACACACACACACACACACACACACACACACACACACACACACACACACACACACATTGGTTAGACTCTACCTCTAGCTGTAGGTCCAGCCCGTCAGTGATTCAACAACACACCCCTTTGGTGTAGCCTCGTCCCATCAGCATGGTTGGAATAGTTAGAGCGGAGTTGCACTGATCCGCATGTATACAAGCTCAGGCATAGCAGAAGGAGGAATGTCTGCATGATCTCTTCCTGTTTCCACTCCTTTCAACATTTCTATGCAGAGCATATTCAGTTGATGGAAGGTGGGATGGATTTATGATGGATGAAAGTAAACAGGAAGGAAAAGGTCATAAAGAAGTTAATTGGCAACACGATCATCTTGTGATGCCTTCTGGAAGAATTGCTGTTGAAGCTAACATTTCATGTGCTCCTTTCTCCAACACACAAAAGTATTTATGAACTTTGCTGCTAAAAGATTACTACTACCATTTCACACACAAATAATCACTTTTTCTCTCTGCCTTAAGCAGCAAATATGTTGGTCATGAGGCTGGCGCCATGACAACGCCATTCACTGATGAAGGCTGTGGCATGTGGTTGGTAGTTCCGAAAAAGTTTTTCAGTAGACCTTGAGTTAAAATTGTTTTGTCAAACTAATATTTCCAATGTAAAAATGTAAATAACTTGAATCTTAAGTTCTTCATTTAGCACTGTTTTGTCATTAATAAAATACTCCTATTTTTATCACAAGTCAATTGCATAAAATGTAATTGTATCCACACAAATCTGTTATGGTTGCAGTATCATCTACATTTCACATTAGGCATTAGTCGTTTTCCAAAGAGCAACTTCCATTCAGAACCCAGATTTGTACTCCATATAAGTCTATGTGGCATGCTCTGCTCTCTTCTACACACAAGCAAACATTTGGAAAAAACATTCTACTGCATACACAGGGCACCCTGGAACAAGTCAGCAAGCTATACAAGCTGTTTAGCTCTGCCCCAGTCATTTATGTACATTATGGGAGTTGCATGTTTCCAAAACTGCCTGCTGGCAGCCAGCCAGTGTCCTGGTTTAAACCCTGCTCCATGTGTAATGAAAGGGGGTAAAACGCTGCTGTGGCTGTTTGTAAGGGGAACATTCTACAGGATGTTGTTAGTACTGACTCAACGCTTGGCCAGTTGTGCAGTATTCCACCACATCTGGTAGACTTTATTCTCAGGAGCCCGAGGAGTGGTTTTGGTAGCACTTTATTCAAGGTAATACAAATTGAAGTATCATAAGCATCTTAGAGACACAAGTTGGAACAAGGATGATCATCTAATCAGAGTTTGATATAGTACAGACTATAAAAAAATGAAGGGGGCAATACATCTCTATAGCATGACTGATTATGGTGGAAAATAAAGGCTGATCAATATTCTTTTAATAGCACAAGCTCCAATGAGGATGTGTGATGTGAAAGGTGTTAATATTAGTAATGGACCCACAGAGGATACGCCCTATAGGCCCCCTCATGTCCTTTGAGCCTAGTTTTTTTTTGGTTTAGTGGCCCACATGATCCTTGTTTTTGATCAGTTTCTTGTAAACTCTAATATCATCGTTTTTGCCAATGTTCAGAGTAAGATTCAATAATTCCGTCCACCTCATTCATTTGTATGAAACCACCTTTATGACAGAGCTGAGGTCTTATAGCAGAAGGTTCTGGTAAAAAAGGCAGGGTCAACAATCAAAAAATCATCTCAACTTATGCCGGAACGCAATACATTAACATCCATCAAGGCACTGCTGTGGCCAGTCGACAAAACAAAACGTGCAAAACAACCATTCCTTATACATTACATGTCAAATGCAGACCGTATTTATATCAATCATAAAGAAGGCCCAGCAGAAGGATTTACTTTCAATATTTTCTGTGAATCAACCACTTTCTTGGATTAATCACGAGTCTAGCTTTTGAGATTTACCCAGATGGCTACTAAAGTGAGAAGAAAAGTCTAGCTTTGTGTTATTTGATTTTACATGTACAGTACATGTACATTTACAGAGTCAAATACCTTGTATGTGTACCTTTACACAGTCCATGCAAACATACCAGGCGAATAAAGCTTGATATTTCTACTGTTTTATAGCGAGATCTCAGGAGTAGGTGCAGGTCAAACCAACACTAAACAGAGAGGGAATATTGATTTACTCTGTTCCCATTATTGGATTAACAGCCAGAACTTCACCAAAGTGCATTTACCTCAACAAATATAGAAACAGAGGGTGGTGAAAACTGCACAGCACATCACCAGGCAGGGGCGGACTGGGACTACAAATCAGCCCGGGCATCTCGACCGGCACACTTCGGTACCAGTAGTAAATGGTCAATGGGGGGTGGGGGGGGTAGTTATCCGACCGGCCCACTTCGGTAACGTCCTGATGGCCAGTCCGCCACTGTCACCAGCTGCCATCCATGGAGGATCTTTACTCCCAGCGGCTCAGGAAGAAAGCCCTCAGGATTACAAAAGACCCCCATCACCCCAGCCACAAACTGTTCTGTCTGCTGCCGTCTGACAGGCGGTACGCAGCATCCGGACTAAAACCACCAGACTCAGGGACAGTTTCATCCCACAGGCCATAAGACTGTTAAACACCTGAACTAAGAACATTCATAACATTCATCTGGTTGTAACTTATACTTATATAGATCAATATTCCAGTTACTTGTATATAGACTATTCTGCACAATTTCTATTATATTATATTCTATTTCATTTACTTGCACTATTATCTGTTGTATTGTGTTGCACTGTTGGAGGAGGCGGTGACCTAAGAATGTAATTGTCATAACTACACTATGTAGCCTGCATATGACAATAAAAGCCTTGAATCTTGAAGTATGAGGGATCATCTAGATCAGGGGTTCCCAACCTTTTTTCCCAAGAGCCCCCTCCAACTGACTCCTGTTGGAAGTTGTGGCCACACACACACACACACACACACACACACACACACACACACACACACACACACACACACACACACACACACACACACACACAAACACACACACACACACACACACACACACACACACACACACACACACACACACACACACACACACACACACACACACACACACACACACCACACACACACACACACACACACACACACACACACACACACACACACACACACACACACACACACACACACACACACACACACACACACACACACTTGTGGTGGGCGCAACAGCGGTAATTCAAGTTTAAAAGTCTAAAAAATGCTACAACTACTGTCACAAACTGTATGAATGTGAAGTATTTTGTTAAAGGAGGATGAAAGCGTAATTAAGGAGCACTATTGGAGTGACTTTGATGGTTATTGGACTCAGGATTAATTCCTTTGGATTCCCGCTGTATGAAGAAATTAAAGGACGGCGCAAGTGGAAACAATTAACAAAGGGATTAAACTGTTTAAAACACATGCTCAAAGTAAGCCGGATTTTGCCGATGTGTTTATGTGGATTCAAAAGTCGTAAATAATCTACAAAATGGAGGAGACCGATCTGATCGGAGCAACTGTGACGAATAATCCAACTGAAACCGGCATGGTCAATGACTATGTTTTAAAAATGTGCTTATCCAGACAAGCCTGGTTTGGACACTTTACAGGCAGAAGAAACATTTATATTACATTACATTGCATTTAGCTGAGGCTCTTATCCAAAGCGACTTACAATAAGTGCATTCGACCAACAAGATACAAACTTGAAGAAAACAGAATCATATACGTACATCAGGTTTCATAGAGCTAACACATTTCAAGTGCTACTCAACTGGCTTTAGATAAGCCAGTCCTTTGTTAGTATATAAGTGCTTTGTTAGTAATTATATCGCTCGAAGTGGAGTCGAAAGAGATGAGTTTTCAGTCTGCGCCGGAAGATGTGCAAGCTATCTGCTGTCCTGATGTCAATGGGGAGCTCATTCCACCATTTTGGAGCCAGGATAGCAAACCCACATGTTTTTGCTGATGGGAACTTGGGTCCCCCTCGCAGTGCGGGTGCAGCGAGCCATTTGGCTGATGCAGAGCGGAGTGCAAGTGCTGGGTTGTACAGTTTTAAAGAGTCACTACCGGAGGCCCAATGAGTCGAGGAGTCGAGGAGGGGAAACTTGAGTATTGAGAAACCATGTGTACAGTGTGAATGAGTCATTAGAGGTTTCTCAATAGCCTACTCTAATCTCCCCTCCTCGACTCCTCGGTCCTCCGGTAGTGACCCGAAAATGGATTTCAGCGCGCCATGTTGAAGGACATCTCATTTCTCTAAATGCACATCGAGGACCGAGCATCGAGGAGGCTCTCTGGAGGAGCTCTCTGGAGGAGCTCTAACCGAGGCTCCTCCGCGGACGCATTTCCAGGAACGGTGGATGCGTTACGCACGGCCGGACTTATCTCAGCCAATGACAGCTCTGCATGCATCCCCTGGATATTATTTTAGAAACTGTGAGAACAGCTGTGAGGTCCGTGCAGAAAGCAGAGCAGTGTGTATAATATATATCACTCAGTATAACAGGCCTATAGAGAACCGCAGTGACGCGTCGTAAAACCCGGAAGTAAGTTAGCATTTGTACCACTTCCGGTTCCTTCGTCAAAAAGCAATGCATTTTCTCCATAGGGTTTTGGAAAATAGCTCGAAATAAGGTCTGTGGTTGACACAAATTTAAGAGATAAATCACGTTTTGTTCTACGACATTAAATACATCAGCAGTGACCCCACTGGTGATTTTTGAAGAGTTTACGTGTCTGAAAAACGATGGTTGTTACCGAGTGGCTGAACAGGACTACAGAA